GAAGAATTCCTGTCCATGTGAAGAGCAAATCAAAATCTCCAAAGTAGGAATGTGCTTGGAATACTTAAAAATAAAAAAGCAATATGGCTGGAGCATAATGAGCAAGGAAGGTGATTTGAGAGTGATCAGAGGGTAGGTATACAAAAGATCACACAGAACATGAAGGAGTTTAGATTTTATTCTAATTTCAGGGGAGAGATATTAGTGAGGTTTAGGTTGGGAAGTCTAATTTATATCATTAAATGGCTAATAGAGAATGAACTCTAGGAAGTCAACAGTGAAAACCAAGAGGCCAGACAAGAGGCTGTTGTAATGGTCCAAATCAGAGCTGCCAGAGGCTTGTACTAGGAGGGTAGCAATAAACACAGTGAGAAGTGGTTGGTCAGATATGAGATAATATTTTGGAGGTAGAGTCAATAGGACTTGATGTTAGATTGGATGTTGGAGGCAAGATAAAAAACAAGTATCAAAGCTGTGATCTTTTGGGTCTTCTCATCAGAAATTCCCATACCTGATTGCTGCTAAAAATCATTGTTCTAGAGAACTTCCTTTCAATAACAAAATTAAATACCATCAAAATTTCTGCCAGTGTATGACAATATTTGAAGGAGCCACACTAATTATTGTAAAGGATTCAAGAACTGTTCATTTTGTGTTAAACTAAAGCTTTAAACTTCTGATTTTTTTTTTTTTTTTTTGGTGGTGGTAGGGGGAAGCCATCTGAAAGGCAGCTCATTTTCTAAACACCCAAGTGCTTACAAAGCATAGGTTTGTGTGCCTTTGAAAGTGGCATTTCCTTGCAATATTAGAGATCTATAGGCCCAGAATCTATATTCAGTTTTCACTTTCTTATTTTGCTTTACAGTCTTATTTTCTCATATGATGGCCATATTTTATTTTATATCATTGTTTTATGGATGTTAAAATCAAGACTTAGTAGATTAGATAACTTATAGCACAAGGAGAAACAGAATGGCAAGCTTGATTTCCTTAGTTAACCCCTTAATGTATTGATTAACCTTTTGTGAAACTCTGGAGATGTTTTAAAGAATTAACTGTTGAACACTACAGAGCAATTATCTTTCTCCTAAACTTAACTCTTCTGATGTTTTATATAATTGCCCAGTGACAGTCCCTTAGAAAATAACATTTTGAAAACAAAATATACTTATGACTATCCACAAATTTATGAAATATATACTAAACATTATTAGAAAAAAAAGCAAGCAGGATTCACAGTGTTTATTGTGTCAGTATGCACAGCACTGTTCAGGATTGAGAGTGTTCAGGGTTTAGGGGATGCAGTAAACGATACCCTTTTCCTACCAAGTTATGAACAACTGAAAACAGGCAGAAGAGTAGACAGCAACTATCACTCTTAAGATAAAGTTGATGCTGGAGATAAGGTGGCATGTCACAAATGGGTTCCCAACACTAAACCGTGGGTCTAGGCAGACTTACCAGAGTCACTCTGACTGTCACAACAGGACAATGGAAATTCTCCCCTCTGCCCCCTGTAAAGACCCGTCCCTACAATAACTGCAGCACAAGGAGCAGACCAGAAGGCTCGATTCCTGATGGCAGACTGGCTCCAAGAGTAACACTGGCCAAGGGCTGAACTTTCCACACAGTTCTAGCATCTCACTCAATGGGGAAAGGCCAAGAGGCCAGGAATGTTAACAGAACTCCCTTCAATTACACCATATTCCCCACTTAATTTTATTCTCTTAACCAAGCAGTCTTCAAACCAGAGTAAGTCTATGCTGGGATTCAACAAGCACTTTCCAAAGAGAAAACAGGCACAGATAATTTTAAGGAAATCAGTGGCATTTATTCACCTTTACCTACTCTTTCCTAAAATTGAGCTACCTCAAATATGACTGAGGTTGAAACGTCGCAATTCTATTTTTCCAAATCCCTTTAAAAATCATTCTTTTAAAGATGCCACACATTACTAATCATAAGGGAACTGCAAATTAAAACCACAATGAGATATCACCCTCACACCAGTTAGAATGGCCACTACCCAAAAGACAAGAAATAACAAGTGCTACCAAGGATGTGGAAAAATGGGAACCCTCCTACACTGTTGGTAGGAATGTAAATTGGTGCAGCCACTGTGGAAAGCAGTATGGAGATTCCTCAAAAAACTAACAATAGAAATATCATTTGACTCAGTAATTCCACTCCTAGGAATTTACCCAAAGAAAACAAAATCCCTGATTCGTAAAGATATATGCACCTCTATGTTTATCACCACACTATTTGCAATAGCCAAGATACGGAAGCAACCTAAGTGTCTATCAATAGATGAATGGATAAAGATGTGGTACATGCACACAATGGAGTATTATTCAGCCATAAAAAGAAAAGAAATCCCCCCATTTGTAACAACATGGATGGATCTAGAGGGTTATATGCTCAGTGAAATAAGCCAGGCAAAGAAAGAGAAATACCATATGATTTCACTTATTTGTGGAATATAAAAACAAAATAAAATGAATAAAATAGCAGTAGACTCATAGACACTGAGAAGTGATTAGTGGTTACCAAGGCAGAGGGGTTGGGGCAGGTGGAGGGGAGGGTGAGGAGGATAAAGGGGTGTAGTAATTTGCAATGACAATATAAGTTCATCATGTGGACAGTAGTACAGGATGGAGAATACAGTCAATGATTCTGTAACATCTCTCTATATTGATAAATAATCACATTAGAGGGGTTGAGGATTTAATAATATACATAACTATTGAACCACTGTGTTGAACATTTGAAACCAACATGGTTGTATATCAACCATACTTCGATTAAAAGAAAAAAAATCATTCTTTTCACATTTATAAGAGAGAGGCATCCTCCCATCCATCCCTGATTTTGCTATGGCAAATTGTTCCTACATGGAAAAGTCTACAAAGCACCATACAAAGGAACAATTCTAAATATTGATGCTAATATTTAATTTAATCAAGGCATGATAAGCCTACAGAAGGATTTCCTGGCTTTCCTTACAAATATTCCTGTGAAAAAAGGCATGGTGCTAGAAATTGGGTATTTTGGTCTGTGCTGGGGTGTTTTGAGTTCAGATCTAAAGTAATGTGGTAGGAGATATGATCATTTTTGTCTTACACCATTTCTTCTTCCATTCCCTGATGATGTCAAAGAATACTGTTGAGATAGCAAAGAGAAATACTGAAGAGGCCTAAGCCTCTGTTCATCTGGGTAACAGATTGAAAGCAAGGCTTCGTGCTCCATATATCTCAGAATTCAAATATGGAAGACTTGTGGAAAACATTCTGGGAAATACCAGTCAGCTACAAGGCACACCTGCTCAGTAATGAAAAAGAGTGTAAAATCTTTGGTGTAAAATCTCATTCTCCTATGTCTCAGTTGCATATTTCAGATGATTTCAAGGAAAAGCATGTTGAAAATTCCACATTTCCTTCCAACAGATTAATGTTGCATGTAAAAGGAACATACATTAGAAGTAAGGTAATGTTTCATATTTTTGCAATTATACACTCACTGAAGAGAATATTTTCATTAATTTCTGCCTAAAGATTATGAATATGGTAAATCTATATTTTTTACCCAAACACTTCTGTTCCTTGTCACTTGTAACCATTTCTTACCTCATTATTCATCCCTCTTTTATGTAATAAACTTAGATTTAGATAGTTTTCTATTGTAAATAATGTACTTAACAATAATAATTCATTCATCTTTTGTAAGCCCTGTATCTATTAGTCCCCCAACATATTTTTCCCTTTGTCATCTAGCAAAACACTACATTCACCTATAGTTCATGAACTAATTTAGGAGAAGAGCTCCATGCATTTCATTAAGAGACATATTTCCAATAAAATTTTAGTTCTCTCTAGTAGTTATGCATAAAAGTTTATAATATAGTGTTGATCAATTATGTATTAATAGTAACTATAATAACTCAATACAACCAAAAGAAATTTTTGACAGTTAGAACCTTCTGGTCATAGAAATCTTTAAAATAAAAAAACAAGTTTTTATTAAATAAAAAAAGAATGATAGAGGAAGCAGTAAAACATATTTGCAAATAAAATATATTTTTAAACTTTTGTGGGGAAGTAGAATGAAAATATAAAAGAGAGAAAAAATAATGCAAAATTTGTGTAAAAATGGATAATGGTGGAGTATGCAATTTGTACAGGATGTGATTTCATTAAGTGCACTGTTAAGCAACAGAACCCTTTCTTTTTGTAAATATTTGAATTTACACTACACCATAAATTACATTTTTGAAACTAAACGTAGGACAAAAACTTTTTTTATATGTCAACTTAAAAATTATTTTGAGGGCTTTGTCAGCAAAATGTATGAAGACCACTGCCTTAACCCTTTCAGCTTACCTACTGAGATCCACTGGGAAATGGCTATTCCCCTTGGGTAGGAATTCAGCAGTCAGAGTAGTCCTGCTCATATCTGCATAAGGCCACTTCTCTAATACTGATTATGCCTCTTTGGTGGGATATCCTGGGGCCACTGGTATAGATTTTGTTCCCAGAATGGCCTGGATGAGTCAGAACCATACATCAATTAAATTAACTCCAATGCTCTTCTGTACACTAGCCTGTAATTCACAACCTGTTCTATTGCCATCTCAAATTATGACCCACCACCTTGTTCAACATTATCAGAAATTCTAAAAAAAAGATCAAATGGTAACATACTCTAAAACTTAAAAGCCAAAAAGATGTCCTCAATTTGATTATGACATGCCCTCCCATGTGAACTCTCCAAGGAGAAATGAAAAGTTCAGATATTAAGTTATCTTGCTCTTCTGAATTACAGCAGAAAGTAAACAGTACCAACTTTGTGTTAAAGTCCAAAATTCCTAATGTCCAACAATGAACTCTTTTGCTCACGTGAATTAAAGTTCAAACAACAGGTTTTATCATTCATTGGCAGTGAACTTAGCTCCCAAAACTGAAGGTCCCCTTCCCGCAGAAGGCCTATCCTGTTAAACTTACCCCGAGCTTCTCTTGGCGTGGGCAGGCCCCTGTGAAACTTGTGGTATGAAGGAGCAGAATAGAAAGCATACTTTCTGTGGGTTGCCTGGCTCCCATGAGAAATGGGAGAAGAAGAAGGTGGGCTACACATGCCAAACTTACACATCAGGAAACTTGCTAGTAGCACTGGAATAGAGTGTCAAGTGTTAGTTAGTGGCACCCGCTCCATACAGAAACATCTGATGTGACAAGGAAGTGTTTTCCCCTAAAAGGGAGAAATAGAACAGAATTATAAGAAACAATCTTTCTCATTTAAAAAATATTTATTGAGCTCAAGTTTCTGAGCTAGATTTGCTGGGAGATTCCTAAGTAAATCAGAGCTGGATGCTGCCTATCAACCAACATTAACATTTGTAACAAATTCACTTATATCAATGCCACGCATTTTAGGTTTTGTTACAGCAGTGTCCTACTTCTGGTACCAGTTTTTCTGTTAATACAGATTAAGCTTTGTTTGCTACCAAACCCCAAATATCTCAGTGGCTTAGAATAGTAGAGATGCATTTCTCATTCATACAACCCTATGTGTTAACTGACATCTCTCTTCTCTTTCCGGACTCTAGGACCCTGGGTGATGGAAGATACCACTATTTGAAACAGCCACAAATTCTTTGTCCTCTTCCCCTTGATCCCATCAGGAGGTAGAGTTTATTTCCCTTTCCCTTGATACTGAGTTGGCCCTGTGACTGCTAAATAACCAATAAAATGTGTTATATCTAGGCCTAAGACTTACAAAGACCTGGAAACTTTTCAGAGTCCACCATGTAATGTTAGGCTACTATACTGGAGAAGCGATGTGAAGCAATGCCCTGGGATAACACTGGGAAGAAGAAAGGCTCAGTCATTCTAGCATCCCAGTCAAGCCTCCAAATGACTCCAGCTCCAGATAATACCTGGCTGAAATCATATGAGACCCCAAGGAAGATTAGTCAACTGCCCATGAGCCCATTCAACCCACAAAACCATTAGAGATAATAAAATGGTTACTGTTTTTAGTCACTAAGGTTTGGGGTCATTTGTTATACAGTATATCAAAAAGACTCTGACATTGTGCCAAAAGGAGAGAGAACACGAGAAATTGTGCATGGGTTCTTAAAGCTTTTGCTCGGAAATGACAAGAGATTCACTTTCAGTCATATTCCATTGGCCATGCTGAGTTCAAAGGAGATGGGCAATGCATATTTACCATTGGTGTGGAAAAAGAAATGGAAATAATATGGTGGCAAGTACTAGTATCTCCCAGAGAGAGGTCAAGGCTAGAGAGGCACATCTTCTGTAGAGACGACAAGTAAATCAGTAAGTAGATAAAATGGCAAGGGAAAAAGAATAACAAGAAAAAAATGTGTTTGATAATAGATGCCTACAGATTACCTCTGGGAAAAATAGGGATGGATATAAGGAGAAAAGAAGGTAGAAAGGAATCATTAAAGAAACATCTAGAAACAAAAGGGGAATATTTAGGATCCAAAGGAGAGTGTCAAGAAGAGCATAATAAAAGGCCAAAATGGGTGGTATAAGTAAGGAATGTATAGAAACTCAAAGAAGAAAGAGAACAGTACAGGCTGATAAGAGTCACAGACCTGGGACAGAGGTATAATTAGAGAAGGAATTGGAAGGTAACAGAATTCGGATGGTTCGAAAGGAGACAAAGGCACTCTCAGTAAGGAAACAGCTAAAGTCACAGAGTAGGCAATGAACACAGCAATTGGAGAATGGACCTTGTAAAGGAATCATTTCATTGCAATAGAGGGTACATGTTAGGCCTAACAGATAAAGTGCATTAGGTTTGCTGTGGAAAGGAAGACAGGCAAACCATTTGTGGATTTATGGAGGCTTTTCAGTGCTAACTATGAGTTCTGAGTCTCCTTTAAATAGCTGAGTACCACTGGAGATACATGGTTGAGTAAAGGAAATCAGTACAGGAGAAGTCCTTAATGTAGGAACAAAGGAGTCAACCACAGAGCAAGTCACCAGCCAGGTTACTGAAGTACTCAAAACAAGAGTGTGCTACTGAGAGAAATTGTTACCTAAGGGGGAGAAAAGAAAGAAATCCCTCCTAGAACAGTTCAAGGGGCTTAGAATGAGAACAAGTTGCTCACAGGACTCAAAAAAATAAAAAAGAGGAAAGGCTTCAGGTGTAGAGAAGTTGAAATATTTATTTTACCAAAGGTATACAAGAAAATGTTTAACGTTTTAACTTCCACGGCAATGTTGGTTACCTACCCAGCATTCTCCACCCTAACATAACTGCAGAACTGCAGTACTGCTCATTTCCTTTCTTCCCTCAAACCAATTGGGGAAAAGAAACCTACACACACATAATTCAGCTCCAAGGTAATCCTTGGAGTAAAGGAAATCAGTATACAGGAGAAGTCCTTAATGTAGGAACTTAAAGGAGTCCTTAAAGGAGGCTAAGCCAGTGGTTCTCAACCAGTATCATCTCTCTAAGGAGTATGTGGGGAGTGGAGGGAAAGAGGGTTTTTGGTGTCACTGCCTGGGGTGTGCAACTGACATCAGTGGGAAGGGAACATAGAAGCTAAATGCCCAGCAATGGCCAAAACCATATTCCTACATAAGAACTGCCAAAGGCCAGATAAACAGCAACTAATCATGGTAGTCTCATGCTCTTTGTCAGTTACTGTTTTAGGGATTAGCTAGTGACCCAGCTCTGATCAGTAAGATAAAAGCAGAGGTCTGTTATGAAGCCTCTGCCTACTGATGTCATCCCAACGGTATGCCACTTGGGACTGCTATAGCCTCTTCTCCCCCCATCAGTTTCTTCCCAATCTTCCTATGTCCACACTGGCACCTCCATTTCCCATTATCAAGTCTTTAAACAGCTTTAACTAACATTAACCTTAAAATGCCGATCATTCAGATTTGCCTGGGATAATCTGATTTTACTGCTATTCTCACACTGTAATAGTGCCCCCTTTCACTTCCAAAGTATTCCAGATTAGAAGTGGGTACATTATATGGTAATTTACTTATTTCCAAGTAAATCCTGTTCACTTGGCCTCAAGAAACTACCTTTAAAGCAGGGTTCAGCAAACTATGCTTGAAGGCTGTTTCTCTCCTCCAAAAAGCAAAATATGGTTTTTGTTTCTAAATGATTGAAAACTATCAAAAGAATATTTTTTAATACCTAAAACTATACTAGTATTTCAGTGTCTATAAATAAAGTTTTATTGGAACACAGCCATACTCATTCCTTTAAGTATCATCATCTATGGCTGCTTTCTCACAAGTTAGAGTTGAGTAATTACAGCAGACATATAAGACACTGTTTGGACCTTTACAGAAAAGCTGGCAGACCCCTACCCTAATGCCACCATTATTTCTGACTTTCCTGACTTCTTGCACAAACATATTAGCCTACTAACTGGTTTCCAATTCTTTTCCCCACTCCAGTCCTTCATCGTGTTTAATCTCTCTAGAGAACTTTTGGTCCTGTCACTGTCCCTTCAGTATTTTCAGTGCCTCCACCAAAAACGGTAAAAGTCCAAGCCTATACCTTGATACTAAAGACTACAAACTAGTTTTCTAGACATTGCCCCTCTTCACTACTTAAAGCCAAAATGAACTACCTGCTGTTTCCCTACGAGGCACTCTTTAGTTCATACCGTAAATTCCCACTGCTTGCCCATGTTTCTCCTCCATTCCATCGGTTCCGGAAGAATAAACGAAAACTGTTACTCCTTTGATACATGTGCATTCCCTCATCATGCCAGTAGTTCACAGCAGGTTAATTCTTGGGGTGGGGGCTGGGGAGTGGGACTCAAAGACCGGTAGGGAGAGACCACGTCAAATGAGTTGAGTGGTGAGGTGAAAGGGTCCGTTATGAGCCTTCAGAGGTGACATTTACTCCGGAATTTTAAGGACTCAGGAGGCTAATTAGACTCTGAAAGAACCAGGTAGATATAAGGAAACTATTATAAAGCTGAATGAGCGAACAGAAGGCCCACCTCATCCTATCCACTTCCCTACCGCCGAAGAGATTATGATTTACGAAATAACGCCTTTAGTCTAAAACCTGGGAGAAAATTCTACAAGAGCATCCTTGACCAAAACCACCGGAGAGTGGCTGCTTGGTGCCTGCGCAGACCGCACGTAATCACGGATGCCAAACAACCCCAGTGGGGGCTCCGTGCCTTCTCTCCGCACCAAGAAGACTCCAGCTCGTCGCCAAAACTTCTGGGCGGTACTTATGTCTCTGCGCCCACGCTCCCGGTTTCTGAACAGGGGCAACAGCGACCAGGGGAGAAAGAGACACACCTCATAGGTTTGCGACAGCAGTTAGGACTGTCGCGGACTCCCATAAGCCACGAACACGCCCCCGCATAAGGGTGCTCGACTGGGCCCGCCTCCACCGCAGCTAACGCGCACGTGAAGCTCCCCGGCGGAGCGAAAGCGAAGAGGCGGGAGTTTGCAGACGTGAACCCAGGCCCGGGAAGGGAAGCGGTCCCCGGGCGCATGCGCAGTGTGGGGTCTAGAAGGAGCGCGCCCCTCGGAGAGGTTACGGAGGAGAGCGCGTGGCGCTCCGAGCCCCACGCATGCGCTGTAGTGTCGCCCTACCCATGCGCGCGCGCGTCTGGCGCCGCATCTTCAGGCCCACCCCGTTCTTCTAGCAATCTCAAGCAAAGAGCGAGAGAGCAAGGCAGTGTGGGGCGAAGTGGGCGGGGAATCGCGCGCGCGGGCTGCCAGCGAAACAAGGTAGGGGGAGGGAGAGAGCCAAGACAACGTTTCCCCGCCAACACCCAATCAGGAGCAGGCCCGACTCCACCCCCTCCGCTCACATTATTGGCTAAGAGACCCGAGGTGGGCGGGGCTACCGTGGGATTGGGGAGGGCAGGGGGTGGGGAGAAGGAGGAAGGCGCTGACGGGCAGTGATGGCGGCGGGTGATGGGGACGTGAAGCTAGGCACCCTGGGGAGTGGCAGCGAGAGCAGCAGCAACGGCGGCAGCGAGAGCCCGGGCGGCGCAGGAGCAGAAGGGGGTGGCTGGGCGGCAGCGGCGTTGGCGCTTCTGACGGGGGGCGGGGAGATGCTGCTGAACGTGGCGCTGGTGGCGCTGGTGCTTCTGGGGGCCTACCGGCTGTGGGTGCGCTGGGGGCGGCGGGGTATTGGGGCCAGGGCCGGGACGGGCGAGGAGAGCCCCGCCGCCTCTCTGCCTCGTATGAAGAAGCGGGACTTCAGCTTGGAGCAGCTGCGCCAGTACGACGGGTCCCGCACCCCGCGCATCCTACTCGCGGTCAATGGGAAAGTCTTCGACGTGACCAAAGGCAGCAAGTTCTACGGCCCGGGTGAGGAGGCGTTGGAAGGGGAGGGGGAGGACCCCCCCTCAAGCGCAGCCCCCATCTGATGGGGAGGCACCGGTTCAGTTTGTCCGGGCTTGCGACGCCTGGACCCCTGCGCCTCGGCTGCAGCACAGGGCATGGCCCGCCCCCCTCGCGCCCGTAGCCGTGGGCACCCCCAGCTTTTCCCCGAAGTCGGGGTCCCAACGTCGCCCCAGGAGCCAGCTCTCCGCTTTCGTCTTTCTTCATCCCGTTTCTCCTCAAAGCCTTTTATTGTGCAGAGTTTTTCAAAATAGTTGTCGCCAGTCACGGTGGCCCTCAACCTTCCCTGAGCTTTCTGAACCCTGGGCGAGTGGAGGCAGAAGGAGGAAAGATTATTCTAAAGTAGGCACTTAAAGTTTTAGGCCCTGTAATTCACAGCTTTCCTTTCTTTACCCTTCTTTTGCCCCTTTTCCTGATTCCCCCTTTTCCTCTACTACTACCCATAAGGCCACGTTTAGATGCAAAGTTGTTTCTAGTCCCGACTCTGTCTAGTCGGTAAAGCCTGGACATATCAGCAATACCTCACACACACCCTTCCCTTTTTTAAAAAAAAACACTTTTAATTTGGAGATGCTGTCCAAGATTAGCAATATTTGTGGGATGAGGACAGACCAGAATGCAGATCTTAATAAAGACGGACAAGGGTGTTCGCCCTCAGTTTGTGGGAGGGGGAGCACATAGAACCAGCAGGCATGCCTGGCTAGTTTTTTTTCTTTTGTTTTTTTGGTAGTAGGAAGGCAAGTATTCAAATATGCGTTGATAAGGACTTTACTGTATTTTCTGGGAGGAGAAAATTTAAAAGACCTGTAAACTCATTCCCCTACACCCCAGAACCATGTAGGTAGGGTAGTTGGTTTAGAAGCCTTTCTTTTGCAATGTAGCTATAGCATACATTTTGGATTATGCTAATAAACCTAAGTTCAAACTCATGGAACCTGTTGGTACACCATGAAATTGAGCAACATTGTACATCCTGGTTATGTAGTAATTCAAAGATTTAAAAATATGACTACAATAAAGAATAAATAATAAACTTAGAGACCTAGAGTAACCTGTTATATTCGAAAGAGTACATCCAAGGTTTAAAGTCAAGGGGGTTGGCAAGTTTAAAAACAAATTAGTGTCCTCCTTGATTTAACCTGTTAGTATCTGAGATTTATTGACGATTGCAAATATATACTTCTGATCTGATTTCAGTGCTTGATGCTTAGAAGGTATTTTAGAAGTGCTTTGGTTTGTTGTTTGTTAATTGGAGTAGAGGTAAGAAATCGGAGATTTTCCGTGAACTATTTTTGAGGTGCTTGTATTTTTGCATGTATATCTACATTCAATCTAGATAAGTCATAGATAGCTTATAATTTATTTCTGGTTATGTAAATGTGAAAACCAGATGTCTACCCACTTAGATCAGCTGAGATGGTTAATACTTCTTTTGTTTACTTAGCAGTATGTGGAACAAGAGACTAGGGCCATAGTACAGTATTTAAATGGACAAGTCAAATTAGTTTTTTTTTCAGTTAAGAATTTAGACAGTATATTGTACCTAAAGTTTGTCCCCCATTGATATTAACAAGTGTGTTCATTGATGAGAAACTGTAAAATTTTAGATTTTTAATATAGATCTCCCCAACTAAAAGATACACTTTTTTGTAGCCCCTGTCTAAACTGACAATGAAGCAAAGTATTAGTGCAAAGAAGCCTCTTAGTCCTAACACATTATGCCTTTCCGCTTTCTGAAAATAGTACAGGAGATAGCCAGACACAGTTTACCAGCCTCAGTGGCAAATGTTCTGCAACAGAAATTAAAAATTAAGATGAAAGTCATAGGTGTAATGTAGAGCCTTTGTGTCGCTCAAGCAGTGGTGGGGCTGCTCCATTAACAACAGAAGTCAGTTTTAGGTTGGCTTCCACCAATTCTCAGTTTCTAATGAACAGCCTCAGAGTAATATTCAGTTATTTATTCTAGGTATTTATTGATCAACAACCTAACAGAGATACTCGTAATAGTTCATAAATGAAAGGAACCTTTAAGGTAGCCAGATGATCTATGGGCTTGGGATCTGTCGATACTTCACATTAATAGAAGATAAAGCCCTTCCCAAAAGTCTTGAAGCCAAATGTCTGGCTATGAAACAGATGTAAGTTCACTGTGGGTTTTAATTTTTATTTTCGTACTCAAATCAATTAAGAAGTTCTGTGGCAGACTATTTCAGAAGCAGTAATCCTTATCTGAGAATCTTAGCTTGAAAGAATGAGCAAAGGGAGCCAAAAAACCTAGTTTCCATGCCTAGCGATTACCTACTCCCATTTCACAAAAATGGTTATAGAGTTAAAGATTGTTTTGTGAGGTTTTTTTATGCTGAAGATTCTTTTCTTTTTAGTCTTCCATTTTTAAAGTTCAGGTTCTTAAAAAGTTAAATATTGACAGTTCAGTGGAGTAAACACGTGTTGGCAAACAGCTGGCTACATTTGTCAGTATTAAATTTAGTAACAGTTCAGGCACTTGGCCAACATGAGAAAAGTGGTAGTGTGAGAAACAATGAATACAATGGTAGGAGGAGAAAGGGAACCAGGTTTGTTAAGCATCTACTACATCACATCAGATCCATTAATTTGTCATCTTCACAGTGGCTCAGTGAGATTAGCAAGTATTTCTGTCCTTCAGGTGGAAGTCTAAGGTTTCAGTGGGCCTGGGTCACACAGTCGTGGCATTCACATTCAGATGTATTTGGCCACAAAGCCTATGTACATTATTTCAGGTAGTGTCAAGAGGACATCCATGAAGGAAGAAGTCAGGTTGGGCCTGGTCTATATGTTCCAATTCCTGCTTATACCAAAACTACATTCTGGTATAAAGTTTACTGTTATTTTTTATACCTTCTCAGGATTTCCATAAGGAATTAAAGCCTCAAAGAAACACACTTTTGTGGCTTACGTTGTGCTGTCCAATATGCTAGCCACAACCCCACGTGTCTTAAATTTTTAATTAATTTAAATATTAAAAATTGAGTTCCTCAGTCACACTGCATTTTAAGTGCTCAGTAGCCACAGGGCTACTATATTAGACACTGCACTTTATAGGATATTTCCATGTTCCCAGAGAGTTCTTTTCAACAGCATTGATTCTGGAGGTCAGGTAGGAGGAGGACACTCCACTTATTGAACTTTACTTCATTTAATTTTCAAACCACCCTGAGAGATAAGTAATATTCCCATTTTATGGATGTGGAAACTGAAACTCAGATTTTGCCCAAAGTCACATAACTAGTAAGTGGTAAAGCTAGAAATCAAACCCAGTCTAATGGTCTTCACAGGCCATCCGTTCCCTTTGTATCACAACATAATTTCACATGTTTCCAGAGTGATAATAGATTAGGAAGATTCAAAACAGTATAATTTTTAATAATTTGAGTTGATATCACTTCAGTGCAATTCTACCAAAACAGTGTTTTTATTTATTCTTTATTCCTCATACAGAGTATTTTTTGACATATACCAAAGCTGTATTTTCTCCAACTTACTTTTAAATTCCACTAGAAAGAAAAAGAAGTCATATATAAAAAAGTACCCCATGAGATGCTTAGTAATTGACATTGGGGAGAGGAGCACATATACCTTTCAAGTATTTTTCCTCCTTTTTTAACTTTATCTTCAATATGTTAACTTTTATTTATAGTTGCAGAATTGAAGTTGAAGCAGGATTTGGAACATATAAACCAGGCCCAACCTGACTTCTTCCTTCATGGATGTCCTCTTGACACTACTTAGCTCTCAGCTCAGCTTCTTATTTTGAAGCCAGCTGGGTCTGTTTGGCATTACCCATACACATCCATTACCTGCCAGTAAGATAAAAGAATCAGCTAAGTTTTCTGATGAATTCTGATACTCTGCTCAAATTTATTCTAGCTATTTCTACAATACCTATTTGCTTGGCTTCTCTGACTTCAGCATCATTTCATTGTTTTTGATCTTTGAGGGAATCATATTTGTGTTAAATACTAATACAAAGAATAAGAGGATCACGTAAAGCATGTCTGAGACCAGATGTTCCTTAAGCTGGAAAAAATGAGTAGATTTAAAAACACCTGGAATTAGCCATTTAGTTCTTTCCATAGTTCTTTCAACAATCTGTGACATAGGCCACTCCTCTCTTGTGTACTGGTGACACACATCATTTAAGTAACGGCTGTACTCTTTAGAACCTACGTCTTGTCTCAAGTTCTTTAATAGAGGATTTTAGCTCCATTTTTAAATACTAGGAAGGAATTGCCTAGATTTCATTACAGTATTACTTAAATAGGATGTTGTGAGAAAGGAGAGTTATCGTCTTCAAATAGATGTGTCCCTACCCTCAATGGACTATGGTGTATTGAGGAAGAAAGATAATAAACAGCATTCAACATAATTATAATACATAATTAAATATGTTATGAAAGAAATGAATGGAATACATAACATGATAATAAAGGACTTTATGTAAATTAGTTAGTTATCTTATTTATTTAGTAATATAATAAGTTACTTTAGTTTGGAAGCCATCTAGCAGCAGATCTGGAATTGATCATATTGTGTTATTTGACAGAGAAAGAACTATCCTTAACTTTCATTGACTTTTTCAGATTTGACTCCAGCCTTCATTTGATTAGTATTACCTCATTGTTTCTTTTTCCATTCTTTTACTTTTTTTTTTAAGTATCGTTAATATACAATCTTAGGTTTATTTCCAAATGTACATCACAGTGGTTCAACAGTCCCTGTGGTGAACTTATATTGTGAATGCAAATGAGTGTGCCCTTTATCCCCCTCCCCACCGTGCATGTCCCAACCCCTCCTCCATGGTAATCACTAGTCACTTCTCAGTGTCTATGAGTCTACTGTTGTTTTGTTCTTTCTGTTTTGCTTTGTTTTTATATTCCACAAATAAGTGAAATCATGTGGTATTTGTCTTTCTCTGCCTGGCTTATTTC